AGAAAGTACCAAAAGTAGTGGGCAGCTCGGCAGATATTCTTAAAGTGCACCTACTCAGGGGCTGGGGTTATGGCTCAGCGGTAGAGTGCTTACCTAGCACATGTGAGGCCCTGGGTTTGATCCTCAGCATCACATAAAAATAAATAAGTAAAGGTATTGTGTCCAACTACAACTAAAAAAATAAATATAAAAAAAAGAGTTCACACACACTGGTCAAGAAGCAGAACATTCCATGACCTCAGAAGCTCTGCTTTTACTCTTCCTGGCTTCAGACACCACAAGGTTGCTTTGCCACCTGGTGGGAGAAAGTGGGGCTTGGTTTGACTTTTAAGAGGAAACACTTTAACTCGGCAGGGATGAGTGCAGGAGGCTGGCAGGAGGGGTCCCTGGTATAGGAGAAAGAGGAAAAGGTAAGGGAAACCAGGATGGGAGCTCAACAAGATGGAACTTCTTGTTCTGTTCCACCTCCAGCAATGCTTAACACACAGTAGGTGCTCAATAAATCATTGTTGAACTAAATATGGAAAATCCAGCCAACTATAAGTCTTGAAAATGCAACAGAACAATAACCCCGGCTTCCATTTATTGTTTGCTGCAAGCCAGGGGTCTGGATCATCTCATCCTCACAATGGTCCTAGGAGATTAGTACCATTATTGCCCTTCTCCAGAGGAGGAAACAAGTTCAGAGAGGTTAAATGCTTCCTCAAGGTCGCCCAGCTCCAAAGGGCTAGAATCTGGATTTGTATCTGCTCAGATCTCTATGCCTCATGGAAGAGAGGAAAGGTGGCCACATGTAATGGCTGGAGGGCAAGAGAGACAGCCTGAGCAGCTATCTAGTCACTCATGAGGTCTCTGGCTCATGTTCCTTACAGCAGCCCCGGCAAGTGAGCCCTGACCCAAGAAGAGGGGAGAAAGGGCCAAAGGTCATCACTTCAAGGATTTCTCCAGGTGTTCCCTTGAGCCAAGGGGACAGAGAATAGGTTTTAGCTAGACCATCTATCTTAGGGGGAAGATGATGCACAGAGAGGAACAGGGGTTTCCTGAGTCATCACAATAAGGCAGCTTTGAGGACAGGGAAGAGAGTCCAGGCAAGAAGGTCAGAAAAGTCAGGAAATGACCTTCAGATACCAGGGCAGGCAGAAAGCTAGATATGTCTGTAATCCCAGCAGGTTGAGAGGCTGAGGCAGGCGAATCCCAAATTCAAAGCTGATCTTAGCAATTTAGCAAGATCCTGTCTCTAAACAGGCTGGGTATGTGGCTCAGTGGTTAAGCACCCTTGGGTTCAATCCCTGGTACAAGAAAAGAAAGCTAGATTAGCTGGTCCTTGTCACACACCCCCAAACAGCCTCAACACACTAGTCTGTAGATCAAGAGAGCTTGATGCAAGAGTGAGTGTCTAGGAGCCTGAACACAAGCTCCAGCCCTGGCCTCTCCTCACTGTGTGACTTGAAGCAAGTGCCTGCCCCTCTCAGGACCCAGCTGACCTCTGAGAGCCCTTCACATCTTTTGCATGCCTGCCAAACACCAAGTTTCCCTCTGTCCTCACAAACCTTAAGCCATGGGCTGACTGCAGGAAGCAATAAGAGGAAGTGCTATTTTGGGACCAATTATAGCCAATGAGGAGCCCTGACCAGCAAAGTGAGGGGGCATCCCAGGCTGGTCGGGGCAAGATGGTAAGCAGGCATCAGGTATAAATGAGGGTGGAGCCCTTGCAGCCAGGATGTGGGAAGGTGCTCAGGCAAGCACTGAAAGGGGGTGGGGAGGAGAAGGAGCACACAGAGGCTCTAGAATCCGGGGGCCTAGAAGAAGCTGCTGCTCCCAACATGGAGTCTCTCCAATCCTCATAACACCCTGAGTGGGTGAACTTGCACTTGGAGAGGTGAAGTTAACAGCCTAAGGCCACTAATGCCTGGCAGTGGCAGACCTGGGACTTGACCCTTATCTGAGTGACATCAAAGCATTGTTTTCCTTCATTTCCACCCCCGAGATTTTTCTTCTCCAGGCTCCTTAACTTCAAATGCTTCAGCAGGCCACCTGCCTTCCTGGGCATGGCCTGGACCATAATCCCTGGACCTTGACAGACTCATGTTTTAGGACCAGAGGGCAAGTGGACTGTAAATCTGACCTGGGCAGTCCCCAGGGGCCCCACCAGCCCATTGCCTGCAGTCCATGGCCCTGGGTTCCTCTTAGACCCATCATGGGACCAAAAGGCCCCACATGTGCCTTCCTGAGCACCAGTCAGGTGGGCCAGCGGGGCTAAACCTGGGAAAGATACCTGAGAGTGTTGGCCTCCCATGAGGGATCCACTGAGGCCAGGGCTAGAACTCCAGACCCACCAGTGGGGATTCCAGTCCTAGGGGAGAGTCTGGACCTATAAACAGGCTGAACCTAGTTCTCAGACACAGATGGCCCCAGCTCAGCTCCTGCCCTGGCTCCACGCTGAGCCTCATCCTGGCCTTCTAGCCCCAGTTCCCCCTTAGACTGAGCCCCTACCCCATGGAGCTAAAGCCCAAATACAGTAGTATCACAAGGACACCTTCTGTTGGGGTAGCACTTTGCTTGTTGGGGGTTAGCCTAGGTCTGAGCTTCCTGTTCCTTCAGTCTTGTGTAGTTGACCTTTAGTATCCATGAGTTCTGTGCCCACACACTCAACCAAATGTGAATGGTTGTGTCTGTTCTGAACAAGTACAGAATTTCCCCTTGTCATTAGTCCCTAAAAAATACATATAACAACTATTTACACTGTATTTACATTGCATCAGGAATTTTAAGTAATCTAGAGATGATTTAAAGTATGGGGGATGGTTTAAAGTATGTGTATACTATACCATTTTATATAGGGGACTTGAGTATCCACAAATTTTAGTATCTGCAAGCGTCTTGGACCCAGAGATGACTGCACTTTTAGTTTGGCATTCAACTACAGCTAGCAAGAGGCACCATCACTCCCCAAAGTACCCTGATGGCTCTGATCCTGTAATCTAGGACTGCTATCCCAGGCAGGGCCCTGCTGGGACCTGGAGCTCATGCCTCTGCCTCCAGGTCACTGTCACAGCTCATCCTAACTTACTGGCACCTTATGCTATGCCATATGATGAGGTGTGGGCCTTCTTTGGACTTACTTCCCCAGCTGCACTGAAGTTCAACAAGATGGTCTCTGAGCTGGGTGTGGTGGTGCACACCAGTGGCTCGGGAGGCTGAGGCAGGAGGATCCTAAGTTCAAACCCAGACTCAGCAAACGCGAGGAGCTAAGCAACTCAATGAGGCCCTGTCTCTAAATAAAAAATACCAAAAAAAAAAAAATAGGTCTGGGGATGTGGCTCAGTGGTTGACTGCCCCTGAGTTCAATCCCTGGTTACTTCCCCCCAAAAAAGATGGTCTCTGAGCTCAGAGATTAATGCCAAGATTCCATGGGCTCACCTGAGATGCCAGGATTTTAAAGTCCTTTGTCCTAGAGCCTATGGCTCTTCAAGCTCCAAGACAAGCTAGCTTACATTTGTCTGTGGCCTCCATCACTCATTATGGAGCCACCAGATGCTCCCAGACTCTCAGGGAAGTTCTTGGAGTAGCTTGGAAGTCAGAGTCAGCTGGAGGAGGAACTGACCCAACTGACCAACAGTAAACAAAAATTAGGCTCCTTCATAACCTGAGGAGTGCAGGAGTAGGAAATGTGCAGACTGTGGCTCTAGGCACCTGCTGGGGTCACAGTAGGCAGGTGGCTTCCTCCCATAGAAAATAGAATGTCCTTCAGGCAACAAGTTGGAAAGTCCCTTTATCAAGAAACCATTTCTGAGAGTAGAGGGGCTGATCTGGGATGAGCCTTTCAGGGATTCCTCTATGGGCTGGGATATGCAGCCCAGGGATGATTTCTGTCCCCAGCCCTACGGAGAGTTCATTGATACTGGAGAGGGCTGGGGCCATCATCCTGACATCAGTAATCTGGAGCTCCTTTTGCCCTTCCCACCTGGGCATGGCCAGGAAAATGGAAACTTTTCCTTTGCCCCCCCTCCCCATATCGGTGTCCAGTTTTCCTCCTGGAATTTCCTGGAGCCTAGGAACCTGACCTTCTCTATCTCTTATGTGGCTCAGATTCTATGACTCAGTTTGTTTAGAACCCCATTGCCAGCCTACTTATCCTCAACAGTCTTATTTACCTTCCTCCACCTCCTTTCATGGGCTGTGATTATCCTGACCCCAGCCAGGCCTCTGCCCCCAGCACTCCCTGCTGCCTAGCTTGTCTAGATCTGCTCTCCTGGGATAGCTACCTGAGATCCCTTGAATGGTACTGAGCAGGGGACACTCAGTTCGCTGGGCTGCTGCCTCCAATCCTGGCGCACCACTTCTCACGGAGGCACAATTTACAGAAGAGTGAATATAATATGAATACTGCCCTGGGGCTTGTGCAACCATGTCCCTGGTCACTGCCCTGCTGGGCGCTCTGATGGTTGGCATTGGAAATGAGTAGGGTGGGATAGCTGGTGGTGGGGAAAGAGAAGTGTCACCGGTCTTGCTGGACTGAAGGACTAACTACCCTGGCAAAGAGGGATGGGGATTTGAGCTGGTCCCAGAGGGAAGTGCAGAAGCCCACCTGATAGGTCTCTTTTATAGGCCTTTAGGGATGGGCCTGGGTCTCTTCGAACAGGGCATAGTGGCTCCAATTTCCAGGAGGAATAAAAGGTCCATGAAGGGGCAGCCGTAGCCCTGATTACACAGGTAATGGCAACAGGACCCCAGCAGCATTCAAGTCTCCAGATCCAGCGAAACTTCTTTCCCCACCTCCCGATACCGCGCATCCCCTGCAGTTCCTTGGGGGACTCGAAAGATGGCAACGTAGAGCAGTGCGACCGGGAGGCAGAGTGGCGAACCCCCTGCAGCTTCTAGGCTGGGGGCTCGGGGCCGCGAGCCTGGACTCTGACGTCGTGGGCGGGGCCGGCGGCCGTGACGCGAGGGGCGGGGCTAAGCACCTTCCCGGCCCGGCCGGCAATTCATTCAAAAGGCGCGCAGGCTGCGCGGCCGCCCGTGAGCTCCCCGAGCCGGGCCCGGGCACCAAGTCCGACCCGGAGCCGAGCTGGAGTTGCCGCGGCCAGGTAAGGGGGAGTGCGGGGCCCGCAACCAGGGTCCGCATCCAGGCCAGCGGGTTGCGCCCCTGCCTCCCTGCGTCTCCGAGGAAGTTCGCCGGCGTGGCGGATGCAGCAATCCAAGCTCGCGGCCCGCCGCCCCGGGTCCTGTCCCGGCACCTTCGGCACACGGATCGCTCCGGCCTCTGAGCCCCCGGCCCCGGACTGCGTGTCCTCTGGCTGCGATTCGGGGCCCGGCCCTGCGCAGTGTTTGTCAGAAGGTGCGTCGGAGGGAAGCAGCGTAACTTGCCGTGTGAGGGACCAGCGGGGCCCGGGAAACTTGGACCCAGACCAGGGCAGGGTGCGGGACAGGACAGCGGCGTCTCAGTGCCACTGCGGCGGGCGGGTGTGGGGGGGGGTCTGAACGGTGTCAGCCCGTGACTGTGGGTGACACGGCGCATGAGGCGGCCTGTCCCGGGTGAACGTGTGGCCGGCATACTGGGCGGTGACGCTGAGCCCAGCGGGTGACACAGAGGGGCTCTGTGTAACTGAGACTGGCAGAGACAGAGAGAGAAAGGGTTGGAAAAGACCCTGGGTCACCAGGGTCACTGTGTGTAGCCTGCAGTGTAAGCAGAACAGGGCCAAGAACACTGGTTAATGAGTGGGAGAAACCCCAAGTGACAGAACTAACCTTGGATTACTAGGGCCATAGCTGCGCAGGGTCAAGTAGTGTGTGTGTGTGTGTGTGTGTGTGTGTGTGTGTCTGTGTGTGTGTGTGTGTGTCTGTGTGTGTGCGCCCGAGTGTGCCGCGCGTGCCCACGCGCCTGGTGCCTGCCTTAGGACAATGAGTAAGAGGCAGAAAGAGGAGGGACCTCAGACACCTCTCAGCAAATGGGGGACCAAGAAGTTGGGTCTTTCCTTGAGGTGGGGGGGCACCTCTCAGGAGTCTGAGCGACATGCCCTGGCAGCAGGAGAGGGGGCCAGGGTTGGGGTTGGCACTTTTGGCAGCATTTGAGGGGGCCTGAGGTAGGCTCAGTTTCCACTTCACAAACACATACAGTATCTCTCACACTCACACATTGAAGTCCCACACCTCGTAGAGCTCTGCCCTTGGAAAACTGTATTCTGTAAGGTCTCAGCTTCAGTCTTGCTCTCAGACCCACCCCTGCTGGGCCTCAGTCTCCCCTGTCTACACACTGAAGTGTCAGGCTGTAAATGATCTGTGAATCATCACTTTGGGATCCTCTATTGTTTTTGGGTCAACTGCCTCTGTTCTCCCTTCCCTCCCTTCAGGCAGGGGCTTGAGGGCAGGCTTCTTCTGGGGGCACAGTGGTCCAGGGGCTGTACCCAGGTATTGGTGAGAAGGTTGGAAGCACAGCCTGTCCAAACCTGGTCAAGGAGACTTCAGACTCTCACTGAAAGGCTGCCTGGTCCACTGTCTCGATATGAACCCATAGACAACATGGATCCTGAAATCCTGACCCAATAGACATTCTTTACTCAGATCTCCTTTGTTCAACATCCTGGTTGGAGGAAGAGGGGGCACAGATTTGTTCCCCCAAATTAGTCTCTAGTCTGGGGGGGAGACTAAGTTCTTTCTGGAGATCTGGATCAGAGCCCCTTCACCATCTGGGCAAGTCCTTTCTGAGCCCCCTACTCCCACAAGAGGGTCTGAGGGGTTCATGCCAGGGTAGTTGGAAATTTGTCTCCCTGACCCAGAAGGTGGTGGTGATTATAGTGCAGCACCTGTTAAAGGTAGGATCTGGAAATTCTGTCTTCTGCTGCCATCCTCTAAAGATATTTATTTTGTTGAAATGTTGCAAATGTGAAGGGGCATGGTGCTAGGCTCTGTTTTAAACTTTATAGTGTACTGTCACATTAAATCCTCACAGTGGTTCTGAGATCTGGTGATTATTTCAGAGAAAGAAACTGAGGCTCAAAGAAGCAAAATGGCTTGCCCACAGTCACACAGAAGTGGAATTCAGGACCTCTGACCTTGTGAGGTGCTTGGCCTCACAGGGTCACACCACCTTCCTGCTCATGCCTTACCTGGATTGGCAGGCATGGCCTTCCAGGGTGTTCCCTTTTGTTCTGAGTGTAATGTGTGTGTACACACATGTCTGGAACATCGGAGTCAGGTAGGTTACATGGCCTTCCTCTTCCTCTTCCTCCCTCAGCCCTCACCCTCAGCCAGATGTCACTAGAAAGGCCTGTCTTCTGAATTCTAGAGCTGCACCTGGGTTTGGAAATGTCCACCTGGTTTTGAAGAGTATCTGGAGTTAGCAGTGCAGCTTAGGGGTGGCAGGGGTAATTGACCTTCACCCTACCTGAGAGGCCCCCGTCCCCATCATTGTTGTTGCTCTAGGCATGTTCCTTACACTTCCCTTCTGCTGTGAGAGGGAACAGACTGAGTGACCTTGAACTGGTACCCTGCTCTCTGTGGGCCTTTCTCCCCATTCTTCCCAGATGCCCCTTCTAGTTCTGACCACTGCCATTGCTTGGCCTAGAGCTAGGTCTGGGCATCAGGGTGTCCTTTGGTCTTCTCTGGAATGACTGGAGCTCTGTTTCTTGGGGCTGATGAAAATAGCTGTCTTGGTCTCCAGGGGCTGAGCCCGAGTTATTTCCATCCCCAGCAAAGAGGTGGAAATAGCTCAGGGGCCTAGAGGGGAAGAGAGAGGAGAACCATTCTTCATCCCAGCCTCAGTGGAGGCCCCCCAGCTCCATCCTGTGCCCTGCCCAAGCCAGACCTTTCTGGGACCTTGGGATGACAGAGGGGCCAGGTTGGGTTTCCACTTGTAACCCCGGTTGGGACTAGTGTGTTAGTTTCTGAGGAAGCTGCTGTGTCTGGCCAAGCATGGGAGACCCTGAGGAGCAGCAGCATCCCCTCTGCTCATAGGGTAGGAGTCAGAGCCAGCAGGCCCAGCCCTGTTTTACAAAGGGAGAGACTGAGGTTCTGAGAATTTCAGGGACTTACCCAAGGCCCCTAAACCTTGCTGTTCTGGCTTTCCCGTTCCCCACAGGGTACTCGTGTTCTGCTCTGCCACTTGTTCCCAGGCCAGCTGGACACCAGCCAGCACACGAAGCAGTCCTAAAACACACCTTCACAAAACTAGGCTGCTCTTACACTCTGGCTCTGGTCCTGCCCTCTGGGCCCAGACTCTTGTTCCCAGCTTGTCTGCCTCCATTTCCAGTCCTTCCATACTGCCAGAGTGACCTCCCTAAAGTGACTCTTGTCTTTTGCATGCAAAATAAAGTCTAAATTCCTCACCCTGATCTTGAGGCCTTTCCTTCTAAGATCTCTTAACTTTGCACCTTCACCCATATTCCTCCCTACCAGATGCCTCAGGTCGGCGCTGCTTTTGCTTTTATTGTCCCTCTTTCTAGAACTCTCCCAATCATTTAGGGTTCAGCCCACCTCACCCAGGAAGCTTCTGAGCCCAGCCTCCGTCTGTCTTCATTGTTGGATCCACCTGCTAGTCATTCCCCTTGCCTTTGGGTAATAGGCCCAGGTATGGGGCACCTATAGGCACTGCTCACCCAGCTCTGTGGCTGGCCTCACCAGCAGACTGCCCCCTCCCACTGCCATATCTATGCTGGTGAGGTCTCTCCTGAGGAAGGGCAGCCACTTAAGATCCTAGCCCCTGGGTGCCTGGATACATGGCAGTGTTTGTATCTGTGGTCTCTGAGGCTCACCATGGCCTGAGGTAATACTAGGGGTTAGGGCCCAAAACTCAAGGCCACTCTGTGGGTCTGGGACAAGTTTGGTGCTAACCATGGCCCTCTTCAGACAAGGCCCTCATTCTAGGCCAGTAGAGGAAACTGTCCCCATTGATTTCCTGTTGTGTGGGCCCTGGGCTCAGCATCTCCCACAGTGGCACTTGTGGAGGTGCCTCCTTCCTGAGTTGTTATGGAAGAGCTGAGACTCAGAGCAGGGGGGAGCAGTCCTAGCTTGAGTCATACAGTTTTCATCCTCCCTGTTAGGGTTAGGGTTAGGGTTAGGGTTAGGGTTAGTCTAACACACCAGCTCTTGCCTAACTTCTGGCCTGGTCTCCAGGCAAGGGACAAGGGTTCAGGGCTTGTCTGATAATTCCGGCATGAGCTTCCAGAGAAAGATCAGGCTGGCCTACCCAAAGCAGGAGTGGGAAATGTTGGTGGGGCTCTCAGCACCTAGCAAGGGGAGACCTGTTATGGAGCTAGCCTTCTCCAAGTGGGTAGGAGAATGGAGCAGAAAGGGAGAGATTTTGCCCAAGATCATCCAGGAGAACCCATCCACCCCCCCCTCCCCAACTATAGATTGATGGGTGCTGGGATGTGGGCTCTGGGTAGATCTAGCACCCACAGTGCACGATGCTCCTGAGAGCATCAAGGCAGAGGCTTGGTGTTTCTGGGTAGGACTAGGCTAGCAGAGAGATAGGAACCAGTAGCTGTGTCCCTGCTCTGTGCCCAGTCCTGCCATCAAGGCTCCAGACTGTCCCATCTCTGCCTCATGCTGAGAGTGTCAATCCTCGAGGCACAAGCATGGAAACCGAGGCTCAGAGGACTAGAAACTCTTGCAAGACCCTTTTGTTGCTGGGATCCAAAGCCAGGTCTGTCAGTCTTGAAGGCCAGAGTTCTTTCCTGGGCCACCCTGGGAAAGATGAGAGCTCTATAAATAGACTGCCCGTGTGGCTGTGAGTGTCCCTGGCTAGCTGTCATAGACGGAGGGGATAGAGGGGCCTCTACAGCCAGTTAGAGGCAGGATCTGAGCATGGTGGAGAGGGAAGGGAGAAGGGTTTCTAGAAGGAGGGACTAAGCTCGGCCAAGCAAATACTGTGAGAAGGAACAGTGAGAGCAAGGGAGACCTGCAGTGTGCCCAGCCTCCCATGGGCACTGCTTACCTCCCTCAGAGAGCCTCCCCACTTTAACAGGAGTTAAAGGAGACTGAGAACGGACAGCCGAGAGGCCCTCCCAACAAGGAGCTTCCTGCAGGAGAAGGCACCTGGACTTAGGCCTGATTATAAGAATCACCGTTTGCCTGTGAATTCTGGGTCCCCGCCACACAGCGAGGCTAGCTGAATAGGCACAATTGCCCGAAATTAACAGAGGAGAAACTGAGACTTGGGCAGGTAGGTGGGCATACTGAGTGCTCACTGCACCTCCACCTTCCTGACAATGGTGTCAGCTGGTAAAGCAGGTGGGCACAGGCCTGGATAGCTAGGAAATGGGCACCCGGGGTCCTCTCAATGAGACCTCGGTGCCACCATCCATGCTGCTGGGATTTATATTGGGTTCCCCAATGCAC